TTTCCCCTGTCCCCAGCCCCCCCCCGACGATGGCATCTACTGGCAAGTGAACATCGACCGCTTCCACCAGCACTTCCGGGACCAGGCCATCGTCAGCGCCGTGGCCAACCGCATGGATCAGGTCCATGGAATCCCTTGGATCCTCCTGCCCTTCCTCTCCTCCTGCTCGTGCTCGTGGTGGGGATGTTCTCACCCTGCTCCGAGCAGACCCATGGTGGTGCTTGGACCTGGAATGACCCCGAGGTCCTTTCCCACCCATTCTGAGGTGGTTCCTGCTGCAGGACTTGCTCAGGATTGAGGTTTTCCCACTGTTTCCTTTATCCCTTCCCAAATCCAGACCAGCAGCGAGATTGTGCGGACGATGCTGAGGATGAGCGAGGTGACCACGTCCTCCAACGCGCCCTACACCCAACCACTGTCTTCCAACGAGGTCTGTCCCTGCCTCCGCGTTGGGTTCCAGCAGGGAAGCGCCTGGAGCCTTGGAAAAGCTTCTTCTTTATGTTTTCCTTGTAGATATTCAGGTCTCTCCCAGCGGGATACAACATTGGGAAGCAGGTTTTGGACCAGTATCTCACCCTCTTGGCAGATGACCCGGTGAGGAAACGTGTGCTCGTGGTTCCTGTCCTAATGCAGGAGCTCCGGGGGGCTTCTGAGCCTGCCCCATGTGCTGGGGGCATCTGGGGCTGAGGGAATACCTCTTTCCTACTGGATTCATGGAATCATGGAATGGTTTGGGTTGGAATTGACCTTAAAGCTCATCTAAAGCCAGGGACTAGAACAGGTTGCTCCAACCTGGCCTTGGACACTGCCAGAGCTGGTTCATGCAAACCTTCTCCCTTCAACTCATTCCAGTATCCCACCACCCTCATAGGGAAGAGCTTCCTCCTTGTATCCAACCTAAACCTTCCCTCTTTGAGGTTGATCCCATTGCCCCTTGTCCCATCCCTCCATCCCACATGAAGGTCCCTCTCCAGCTTCTTCCTCTTCTCTTGCAGTTGGAGTTCGTGGGGAAGGCCGGGGACAGCGGCGGGGGCATGTTCACTGTCAGTATCCTTTGGGAAGCAGGAGCCTGACCCCCCCATTCCCAGCACATGAAACATTCCCAAGCGCTGCCGTTATCCCTTGACCTTCCCTTGCACCGATCTCCACAAGGCCCTGGCGGCCCTGGCCACGGCCACCCTGGAGTCCATCGTGGAGGAGAGGTGAGGATGGGACCTTAACGGGCTCCTTCTTGACCCTTTCTCCCACCTCCTGAAGTGTTTCCCTCTGGGCTCAGGTTCGGCTCCCGCTGCGCCAGGATCTTCCGGTTGCTCCTGCGCAAGAAGCACCTGGAGCAGAAGCAAGTGGAGGATTTTGCCATGATCCCGGCCAAAGAAGCCAAGGACATGCTCTACAGAATGCTCTCGGAGAACCTGGTGGCCCTGCAGGTGAGTGCGCAGGGGATGGAGGCCACTGGAGCTCCCAGGTGGCCCCAGGTGGGAGCGGGATGTTGCTGGCTTCACCACCACCACAATGCATGGTTCTTCTCCTCCACCACCACAATACATGGTTCTTCTCCACCACCACCACAATACATGGTTGTTCTCCTCCACCACTACACTACGTGGTTCTCCTCCTCCACCACAATATGTGGTTCTCCTCCTCCACCACAATATGTGGTTCTCCATCACCACCACCACAATACATGGTTCTTCTCCTCCACCACCACATGGTTCTTCTCCTCCACCCCCCCCATACGTGGTTCTCCATCACCACCACAATATGTGGTTCTTCTCCTCCA